GGGTTCGTGAGGAGAAAACCATCGCAGGACCCAGACCAGCCTTCCGCCCATATGGCCAGCGAGCCTGAGATAAGCATAAAGATAGGACTTTGGATAAGTATAGTGCAAAAATATTTGCATGCACATTTGATAGTATGAGCCACACAAAGCTTATGGCCATCCTGCTGGACCACCTGGGTGGGGGAAGATTGCTAGGTCCGTGACTCAATTGTCCCTTGTCCTGTTCAGTACTATCTAGTCCAACCAATTGCACATTAGCTTGTCTGATCATGTCACAAGCAAAAATTGCAGGATTTCTTCCATTTTTAATATGAAACGGCAGTCAGAAAATAATTAAAAAAAAAAGTTCATTTTTTCATATTCACTTTGACAAGGGTGAAAATGAAGAGAGTTTACCTTCTCAAAATTGAAATTATATGTAATTAGAAAGCAAAACTGATAAAATCACACTATAAAAACTTGACTATTCTGGCAAATCGTCTTCATTAAATCTCCTAGAAGACGTTCTATTGAACAAATTCCTCAAACTATTCGAACTCTCTTTTCGCCTTTTCGCAGCAGATTTTTGTTCGTCCAATGCAGAAAATGGATTTTCCAACAGTAGTCCAGTTTCCAATCTTTTAGACACCGTCACAATCTCATAAGAATCCCAAAGTGACTGCCCAAAATCCCAAGATTTTACGCTGTCTTTTCTTGAATACACACCCATTGCTTCAAGCTTGAATCTAGTTGGTTTGTTCGTGAAATTCAACCTGCGGGCATCGAATTCCGAGGTTGCTGTCTTTGAACTGCTGGAATGTCCATGCCATGCTTGCGCCACAGCCTTGAGAATTTCAACTTCAGATTCATTTTCAGATTTCTTCATAGTTTTCCGGCCTTGAGGAAATTATTTATGGGCCCTGATATTTTGATTATTTTCTTGGGGAAAATTTGAACCTTTTGTTGGTGTTGTGATGAGGTACTAAGAATTGATGATAAGTTCCTCTCAAATTCATGGGATTAAAACAAGATGAGTGGTTCATGGGATAGGAGAGGGAATGTAGAGATATAGATGGCTTTATTTGTCTTTTTATTAAAATATTTGGGAGTGAAAAAATAAATTAACAATGCCATTCAAAGTACAAGAAAAATGAGAGAATTGGTAGTGCAAAAGTGAGATGGTCTACTTGCGAGGCACGTTGAAGATAATTTTAAATGAATAAATTTAGTTCAGACCAATTTGTTCGGTTAAAAATTTGTGAATCGATTGCAAATTTGATATGAATATCTTTAATAGGTTGGTTCGCAAACCCATTGATCATAAAACATTGAAAACCACGTGATTGTTATAATAAAGTACTAACCTAATTCAATATAACATATAATTCAACGATTTCTTGTGAATAGTTTAAAATTTTTACGTTTGGATTGTTTTGTCTATGTGGTGATATCTTGTTATAGAATAGAAATGATTGATGATATATTTACTTGGAATTGGTCGATGGATCAATTGTGATTGAACTAGTAACCTTGTGATTCATCTCTTAGCTCAGGTTAATGCCTAGATCGAATCTCAAAACTATGTGTTCAACACAATAAACCCCCTTTATTATATTTTATTTTATTCAGCTTAGTATCGAAGGTCCATGTAGACAGTTAAGAGGTGATGGTAAACTAAAATTCCAAGATTCAACAAACTGAATATTGCATTCCCAAGAGAGGTATAATGGGCCCTTAGCCCAAGTAAAAAATGGACTGGGCTAGATTTACCAAAAGGCCCGAGTCAAGTTTTATTTTTGAATAAAGTGGGATCCACAAGATTTGTCCCAATCACTCGACGTCTGATCTCGTGTTTTCTAAAATGGGCCCGCATAGCACTTTCTAAAGAAAGGCGTGCAATGCAACTTTGCCTTTTTCTAGTTAAACGTGTTGTTCC